GAAAATACATGTAATCTCTTAATCAATAATTATTAATATATCGGGTATTGCAAAAGTGGAGATCAATCGCTTGGGAGGTGATTAGAGACCCCAAAACAAGAAAAAAAGTTGATATGAATATAGGTCCGGAAATGCATTGTTTTCGAGATATCGCCATTTTTATGTAGAAATTTCAAATTGTTTTGCTTTCGAACTTTTTTGTTAAAATTGAAATTTTTTTGTATTTATTTATTAATTTTTTATTTTATTTGTATTCTTTTATTATGATTTTTTTTATCCTAAGTAGTGCTAAAGCAGCCCGCAACTTTTATTTGACTTTAATTATGTTATAAAACTCATAAAAACCATATCTTCTTTCAATTTTGACGAAAAAAATTCGAAAGCAAAGCAATTTAAAATTTTAACATAAAATGGCGATAACTCGAAAACAATGCATTTCCGGACTTATATTTATACCAATTCTTTTTCTTGTTTTTGGGTCCTCAATCACCTCCCGAGCGATTGACTTCCACTTTTAAAACACTCTGTATTATAGGTACGATTTGACAATTGTGAGAGCTATAAACGGAACACACATTTTTTCTCTAAAATAAAAATGCTAATGTCAATTTTGTAATAAGCAGTCTAGCAAATTACAAGTTTTCTCTTTTAAATTCTTTAAAAACGATCTGTTAATGCTCTGCTAAATATAAATTTATAGCCAACGTGTATGTGATTGTTTCTATACACGCACATGTATTTACAAAATTTTTTAGAATCTCTTACACGTGTATAAAACAAAGCGTTGAGATTTTATTCGAGTGCCGCTTCTCTCTCGAAACAATACTTGCTGCGTTGATATATTCGGTGCAAAGTGTATAAGCGTGAGCTGAAAACTGGGGACTTCTAAATTGCTACGTCGACGTGAGACTACTGTTGGAAAATTTACGAAAGACCATATATATGTGAGTACTTGGTTATTCCAAGTTTAACGACTACTTGCTCTTAATCGTTAATGCGTACAAAAAACGAAAATGTTCGCTCCGGTCGCGTTTTGAAATTATATCAGATAAAGAGATGCAGGAAAGTTTTTTTTGCGTACGTTTCTTCTAGCAAAATTAATATTCTTTCCGTTTATCGATATTAATTCTATTATATATAACTCCTTTTCATAAAATGACTATACATATATACATATATATATGTATATTTAAATAATCGAAACTTGACATTTTTTCCATATAATAAATACGTAATAAAGAGATTGCATTTTCCATTATAGTTATAAATAAATTCTTGAAGAATCTATAGAAAAGAGGAACAGCTGGATGAAAATATTGAAAAGAACAAAATATGCGAGGTTATCACTGACCGTAAGTTTAATTTTTTAAGAATTTGCAGAGTTATTGCGGGGGGGGGGGAGAGAATATTCGAGGAAAAGTAATAAGAATGTAAATTACAAAAAAAAACAAAAGAATCGCCGATAAAACGAGACGTCGCGTCGCGATCGACAGGACGTGCGGCGAGTGGAAGGATGAAGAGAAAACCGAAGGAAAGACCGCTAACTACGACGAGCAGCCATATACGAGCGGCCGCTCTTTGATTATCCGCTGGTTGGCATAATAACAAGTTCATGAAGATGTTGATGCGCATGCGCACACGTTACCGCCTCTTCCCTGTCTGTGCGGCGATCTTCGAATGACGCACACCGACACGCGCGTTGGAATAATATACTCCATTTACATACTTATAGGGGTCCCGCACAATCATGGGTCGAAGGAAAACCCTTCCATCGTGGGACGCTCCTCTGCCATATTCATTAGACTCGCCCTCCCTATCCTTTCTTCTCTTCTTATCTTCCATCAAATCCTGCCCTCTTTGTTTTCAAGGTCTCCCTTTCGTTCTTTGTTAAGGCACCTTCTTCGTCTCTCGATCTCCCTCGCGTTCTGCAGATATCCCTCTCTATCTCCCTCATCGCCGCCTTAATTTTCGTCTTTTATTTTTTTCCTTCTTCGCGCGCATCCTTTTTACAACTGTCTCTCAATCCTCGCGCGATCTTCCTTCCCAAGCACCTCCTCGACCGCTTTCATCCCAGGGCGTCTTCTATCTTTTTATCTGTTGTAGTGTCTCCTCTCCAAGCGACGTATAAGCGATCACTACTGGTAGGTAGGTAGGATTCTCGAAAGTTAGTCCGAAGACGTCTTATTTGAAACAATGTTCTCTCTGCGTCCCGCTCGTAAATCCTCATTTCGAATCCTGAGACTAATATAAAATCCCACTACACTGGACACCCACCCTTTCAGCGAAACGTGTCATCCTTTTTCGCAATTTTTTTTTTCTTTGTTCATTTTAAGCATACCTGACCTATAATCTTGTAGACGCAGGGGTTCCTTCTTCTTACAATCGATATTATAACACAAATCGTGTACATTCATAATATCCAATTTATTCTTTGTGCTTGAAAAATACCCTTGAGATCGATATTATCGTTTCATCCGAGTTTGGACGACATTCTTCAAGAATACCTTGCATGGTTGTAACGCGGTTAAAGTTTCCCATCTAAAACACGCGACTAAATCGACGTTCCTCGATAGCTCGGCGGGTATTGCATCACACAGAGACGTCTTTAATCGATCGTCCAACACTATCGTTGGTACATAGATCTCCTCTTCTCGTCGATACTCGACAGGTGAACGATGGCGACGGCGCGCGAGCGACAGAACATGCCGGCGTTTAGGTTACATCACGATCTCTTCCCCGGCAATAAATCAGAGAGCCCGAAGGTGCGCGACACGCGAGTCGTAATATTTAAGTTAATAGCTCGGTATAATAAAGTTAATGGCTTCATGATAGCTATTCGCGAGGGACAAGCAGAACCGACTGCCGCGTTCGCGAGTGTCGACGAGCCGCTGTCGTTTCGTAATGAATACACTTTAAGCGTTTTCTCTCTTCGGGATGTGCAGGCGCGCAACAACGAGTCCGACGCGACGGACGGCCCCGAGAATCGGTTTGCATGTCGGCTCGCATGATAGCCCGGACCACTTTTCAGTGCCGCTTCACCCGTTCTCGCGCGCGCGAAAGAGACTTGCCTTTATCGCCTTATAAAACGAGGATCTCACGCGCGCGGGCGTAAATAATGACCCTCGACGGTCTCTCTCGAAGAGAAGACACGCAACGCACGCTGAATGCGATATCTACGCGTGTGTCGCGGAACGAAATTGCGATCCAACAGTTACAATCGTGGCCGACTCGTCGGCCGATGATAAGATCCTTTTAACGTCTCGGAGAGATAAAGGATGTATTGCGAAAACATGATACGAAATTTTCGAAAAGGGATTTCTCTCAGCTTGCTCGATTAATCTCGTATGCTAATAAATGATTCTATTGCCGAACATCAGTGGTATACCGTAATTAAAAGTCATTGAAAGATGAGGCATTCATGTTTCTGATTTGTTTCTAAGATATTAGAAAAATATGTTGATTTTTCTCTCGTTATAGATAGTAATAATAACATAACACCATTCAATATTTTTCTCATTATTTTATAAACTGCAATTATATCAAGCATTTTAGGCAATTGTACTACTCCGTAAGAACACATTAGAATAAAATTTTTCATTAAGAAATGTCGTTTAAGAAATTTATTAAAAAATTGGCGCACTTATTTTTTTTTTAATTTTTTGTCGATATAAAATTGAAAGGTCATTCTATTGTTATTAATCTCATTTAAAACAAAAATTTATTAATAACTATGTGTCATAAAATTAATTAATAACGTTTGGTAATGTCAAGAACACGTAGCTTTCACAAAAAAAAAATATTATTAAACCCCCGTAATATAATAATGTAATTCGATGCTTCATATATCTCTGCTCTTCAGATTAATTTAATGATTCTAGTACTAAGGGGGAGGAAAGATATGACTAGCTATAAATAATCCGCATCCGCTTATCAGGATAATTTCGAGACTGCTTCAAAAATATTATGATGTGTAAAAACATCATAATATTTGATATAAAAATATTTATATCATTTCTCACTTTTTTTAAATACGAGAATTTTTTTAAATTGTTGATTTCTTAGAAATTAGAAAAATTTTCGACATTAAATAACTTTTTCATTTCATGAATGAAAACGCACAATGTTAACATTTATCGTAAAAAAAAATTGAATAAAGAATTATGTAATTTTTTATTTCTGCCGAAACTTTCTATTACTATTTCTTTAATTGATCATAAACACTATTGAATATTTTTGTTAAAGAAAAAGCATTGAAATTCAACAAAAAATATCGTTTTGTTTTCTACATAAATCCGTTTATTATCGAATACTTTAATGAAATGTAATAAAAATACAATGCATTTTTTAATTCGAGTTTAATTCTGATTACTCTCATTGTCAGCAATAACGATTCTCAATAATTCTCTTTTATGTGCACGTATCTTTTATCATTTACGCTAAAAAATAATCGTCTTTTCTTATATTGCGCGATCTTTGCAATCAAAAAATGTTGCACTTTTTACTAAAATGTATGTATAGATATTTATCTAAACATTATAAATACGGATTTAAAAATTATTTTAAGCCGTGGGGAGATAGTATATTATAAAAAACAACGTTAATTTATATAAGAGAGAAAAAGACAGAAAAGCCACGTATCTTATATGTATACGTATAACAAAATATAACAAAGATAGAAGACGTATGCTTTCACAAATTTCGTTACACCGTAATTACATTACATAGTAACATAATTTGTAATAGACGTAATTAGAGATAAATAACGAAGAAGTATAATAATTGAATCATTTATATGGTAATCCAATCAGTAGATATTAATTAATACTTTAATATCATTTATTAGATAACGCACACATTCCTGTCTTGTTAAAAAATTTTGAATTGTTTTGCATGGGAATAGCCAGATGGGATTAATTCCTTTTTTAATCTTTCATTACTTTGTACGTTTGAATTAGAAATTTCTTTCAAAAATGTTTATAATATATAAAATACACATTTACCTTTAATAAGCTGCAAGTTGGGTGGTGAACCAATGACGACAATTCTTCTTCGCCACATGAGGAATCCTGTAATAAAAATAATATATTAATATATGCGTATATATATTTTCGAATGTTCTCAACGCATATAACAGCAGTTAATTAATAAATCTTGTGTATACACATTAATAAAAATTACGCTTAATAAAAGTCATACTTAATGGAAAGAAAAAAAAATATATAAGAGATTCTGATAATCTTAGATATTAATAACTTTTAATCTTTTAATTAATATCTTAAAACCTTGTATTTAATAATTCGAAACATTACAATCACATATTACAATTATTTTTGTAATATTCATCACTAAAAAAATTTATTACATTTATTAAAAACTTATATTATTAATTTAGATTTATATTTAATATACATATATTAAATTTCGTTAAATGACAAACAAATATCGTATTCTTCTACAATTGTGTATAATGTTATCACAATTATCATTATTACACATTATCTATTACAAAAGAAAATTTTAATTTAATTTTACAACTTTTGTTCCTCTTGCTTGTAATGATTGAATTTATTATTTCAAGATTATTAAATTTTTCCGATGGAGAATCAATTAATTAAGATAAAAAATTTTCGATTTATAATATCTTAATAAATAAAACAATATTATAGCGTATTGTTCTTATAGCATCGATTAAAAATTAAATAGAAATATTAATGCTTATATTAATAAATATATTAATGTTTCAATGCGAACACGTAAATCACCTGACTATCAATTATTGTCGATAAAGCAACGAAACGGCAAAAAATCCGCCGGAATCTGGCGGCGTCGGCAAACATGGCGAACTATGGAAAAGAGCTCTCTTCCTTCATACAAACGTTTACAAATTCACATTATTATCGATTGATCGTGCGAATAGCCGTCAGCACGCCGTACTGTCGAAACGAAAACTGAAAACTGTTTCCCAGGACGCATTGGTAAGACATATAAATGAAAAGAATCAACGCAATGTAGCTACGACGAGTCCTTGAATCTTTATTCGTCTCGGCAAATGCGGGACGTTAGAAAAAAATTGGAGTATTGGCGGAAGGAAACCCTTTGTAAAAGGAAAAAAAAATTCTTAAGTGATTTATAGCGATTCCTCAATTGTCTATTTGGCCTTCGGCACGGAGAGTTAAATTCTCATCATAGAGAACACGCATCTTTTGTAATATATTTAATATTATATCTCTCTAAGCAAGTAACTATATGTTTTAAAAACGTTTAACGTAATGTTAAATTTTAACATTATATACATATGTATATAATATATATCATTAGTAATTATTATTTAAAATTTCTGCCTGTGTATAAAGATAACATTATATTTATAGCATTAGAGAGTTATTACATCTAATAAAAATGTTATTATATATTTTGTACAAATATATAATAAATAAATATGAATTCAAATCAAAGAGAAATATATAATAATATTATATAGAGAATATTATATGTAATTCCGCCTATTTATTATAAATTATTTATTTTAATAATATCAACAAATTTAGAGATTAAAATGTTTATATTACATGTTATTTAATATAAAAAATCTACGTTTTATAATATCTGGCGTAATATTGTAGTTTATAAATGTAATATTAATTTCGTACATTGTATATTGTATTATTACTATTAATAATGCATAAATAATGAGAGTTGGGATATATTAAAATAATTGTAAGACATCTGCGCCGCCATTTCAACGCCGTCCGACGGACGACACGCAATCGGCACGCACTGCTTGTCATTGTATATGTTAATATTCATTTGCGCTTTTAATTGAAACATATCATAATACTTGTATCAAAATATTTTTTTGACAATTTATTACGGAAAAGCGTAAGCAATGTTACATATTGCTGTGACGTCTATTCACGTTATTCCGACGGTTGTATAATGTAACCAAACACAAATTCAGTTTGTCAATTGAAATTTGATATTGATAGATTATCATTATTATATAGAATAATTCGTAATCATTAGTTGTAAGTAGATATTTGTGTGTGTCTTCAAATTTATATAAGCTATAAACTTTCTTGTCAAATTTATACTTAAAAATATATATTTTTATGATACAACCTCGATCCTTGTTATCGTTATAATATTTATAATAATTAATACAGCTTATATGCTCCGAGAAAACGAATATCTTTCTTATCATAGACTGGATATCATCCATGATTTTCATAACAGAGACTGTTTGATAAGGTGCTTTCCTGTGCTATATGCCTGGTTGGTCAAGCAATTCTAGTTACTCCGTCCAATGTTTCCCCTCGATATCCACTCATCGCAAAAGGCAATCATCCTTTCGTGTGACGTTATAAATCGAAAGCCATAATACCATCATGACAGTAGAAGGCGCCTGGCGCACGTTACTTTTATGTCAACCCTCCACGTTATTCTACTTATTGGCGCCAGATCCACACAATTGAGAGATTTACAGATTAGTTTGTGTAATAACGGCAGGTAGAAGAAGATGAATCGTCAATGAAAAATGACGTTCTGCAGAAAATATAATGGCTAAGCAATCGAGATGTGATCTGTGGTAGATATTTTTTGATTAATGTCTATTTCACTTTCCACAAACCCTCGTTTTTTATTCGTTGTTATAATATTATCGCATTATTTAAATTACTCTTACTTCTGTTGTGTATTTTTAATAGTAATAATAAACTAAATTTAAAAAATTCTATTTTTGTATATATTATACACACGAAAGCGCACTTAAGTTACACATATAAAATGTAAGTTTGTGTGGTATTCTCGCCTACCACTGGTAATCGACTACCAATCCGTTGATTCGACGCTAAAAATGCAGGTAGACGCGAACCGGGAAAAGAAAAGAACGATGGTAGGATAGGAGGGAGCGAAAAAGGGTGGTCCTTCGAGCCCGCGGAGGGCAGGCCGAAGGAAAAGACCGCTTGCTCGTTTACCGCCTGCCAGGACGAAAGGGCGAAGGTAAAAGTAATCGCTAGCATGCGAAGCACGCCCCAGGCCTTCGTACACATTCTCGGTTCGTAATATACGACTTCCGTACGTTGATGGAATATTCGAAAAATCCGAGAACCTCGCCGGAGCGATAGGAGTATGGAAACAGCTGACGAGGATATAGCAGGCGCGTGTGTGTGTAACCGTGCGTATACCGACGAATGTTTCCGCGGAACTCGCGAAATTGAGTTTACCGCCTTACAGCAATTTCTTCTCGACATGGTATAAATATATATCTTCCTCTTAAATATAACTATGTATACATATACACCTCCATTTGTTAATTAACGTTTCGAAAATCTCGAAATGAGAGCACTAACGCTAAATAATCTGACGTTGAGATATGAAGAGCATTTTTTCTTATCCGAGACTCGTAAATTCAACCAAGAGCAATTAGCAATTACCGGCTTAAGTGTCGGAACACTTACGAAATATACCCGGCAGACTCCCATTTGATAAGCAGAGGAAAGCGTGCCTTATCTAAGACGAATGACATATTTTAGCGGAAGACTCATTCGTTTTGTGACCGCATCGCGTTGTCGCGTGATCGCGCAGGTATATAAGTATCGTGCACCGACGGAAATATTCTTTGGAATATACGATGCTGCCGGCTCGTACGTGTCACTCCGAACGGTCTCTATGTGTTGGTGTACAAGTGCTTCTCATCGAAAGGAATGCAAGTCATTTCTCAGCCGGACCGTCCAGCTTCATGAAATGTGTCCAGCGTTAAGCAGGATGCAGATAATCTGAGTGTTTACCGCCCGTTACCGAGGGAAAAGGACGAGCAAGCAAGCAGCCTCCAGCAAATGGCATCTCGATGGTAGCCATTTTTTTTTTAAATGGTGTTGGCCACGCATTCTCGCATGCCCGCGTGTCCCGTGTCTTCAGGACACGCGGATGCAGCTGGCTGTAATCTGGCACTTCGTCGTCTTCGTTCGAGCTCGAAAGACATAAGAGGCTCCTCCGCTCCCTTCGCAAAGCCGGAAACGTCATGGATTATAAACTTCTTCAGTCACCGCGGAACCGCCCCGGACCTTCCCTCCGACTTCGATCGCGCTTCCCTTTTGTCGGGGCTCCCACGTGAATACAATTACACGATGTTTGGAGGAAGAACGTCACCCTCCGGACGTCAGACTGAGCAAATGTCTCTGGTTGCATCTCATATTTTACAAGTTATTAAACACGCCTTTTTGTCCCTGTGCGTTCTTTTAAAATATCTACTAGAGTTTGAAGAATTTTGTTAGGCGATATGTCTCCTTATAAAATAATTTATGTTTTTGATCTGACATTACCTACTAATGACTTACGTCATTAAAAGCCTAAAGCCCCTATTATACATATAATAATACAAAAACATTTTCAAAAAATTTTTATTTAGTAAATTCACGCAAGATATTCAGACGTAAAAAATATAAAAAAATATGTGCGAATTTTGTTGATGCAACTAGTTTGCATAAAAATTTTTTTTTTTTGACGTCATTAATTTATTATTCTAATCTTTGTCAAAATGTCTGACTGGCAAAATAACGAGGGAAGTACGCAAAAGGATGAGAACTTGACGGAACTGCAGAAGGGCAACTCAAAAGAACGTGGAATGAGAAGAGAAGTGTGGTAGGGGAATAAGAGGGAAAACTCAGCTCGTTTCCAACCGTAGGATAGGGAAGAGAAATACGCGCTCGTAAAAGACGAAGCGTAGTCCCCAAAGAAAATACGAATTAAAGCAGCTAGCCGGTAATCGAGAAAACTTTTATATAATCGCTCCAAAAACCGAGCACAGTAGATCCGAATGGCACGATTGTTTTTATATTTACAATACAATAAATGATTTAATAATAAAATAAGCATCTTATGTATCTTATACATTATTGCGGAAAGCGAATATTCAATGCAATTATATGCAAAATAATTATTAAAAATGTAAATATAATTTTACTTATATGATTATATGCAGAGTAATAACTACAAATGGAAATATATTTTACCCGTGCATATGTAAAACGGAATAAATTTATACTATTAGTTTAGCGAAGAATTCGTG